GCGCTGTCACTCTGGCAGCCTTGCAGCACTGGAGCAGTGGGTCCCATTTCATGGGCAGCCTTGCTGCATGGCCCAAGGAGAATGGGGGCCAAAGTTCCTGCTGACAAGCTCTATGCCCACCCGCCTGCATCCCCCATGAGTCGCCAGAAGGGAGTGGGCACAGGACTCTGGACAGAGCAGCTGGAAGTGGGATCACCCTTCCCCAGGAGCCAGGAGGCTATGGCATTCATGAGCCGGTGGCACAATGGATAAAGTGTCTAACTACGGATCAGAAGATTGTGGGTTTAACTCCTACCTGGCTCATAGTAAGATAATTTTTTCTGAGCCAAGAGCTTGGTTGTGCCTGCCTTTTGCCCTTCCTTGCTCAGCTGCACCACACCCCTCATGCAGTGAAACAGTCCTCCTAGGAGGTACTGAAGAACATGCCTAGTTTCAATTCTTGCCTAGCACTGAATAAGGGGGCTGTAGGCTCTGGACAAGAGCACCAGGAAGCAGGATCACTCTTCAGCAGCTGCTGGAAGGGCTCAGCTCTTCGTGTGCTAGTGGAACAATGGATTACACACCTATCTACAAGTCACAAGGTTGTTGGTTTGTCTACTGCCTGGTTTGTGTTCCCCCCTTTTTTGCAGCTTTACTGCATTGTCCAAGCAAATGACATCCCATGATCCACCTCAAAACATAGTGGGGCTTATGGCAGTGGGTGTTCATTAATTAAAGGCTCCTTTATTAGCAGAGAGGGAGCTCAGCACGGCACATCTCTATGTGGAACAGGGGTCTGAAGGAAGGAGGAGCTATGGGCATTTATGCCCCAAAGCTACCAAGCTACAAAGGAAGAGTGATGTCCAGAAACTAACTCTGTGGGTTTGCTCTGGGGCTTGGGACTGGAAACAGTGCTATAATTAAAACAGGATGCTGATGTTTGGGATGAAAACACTTTATGCCATCACAGCTAAGTTAGTATGGTATTGACTGTTAGTTAATCTATGAATGAAAAGTTCAGAAAACTGATTATTAAAATGTATCAGTTAGGAAAGACCATACTCATTCAGTAACATACAGATTTCCTGACCCTTCTCGGTGTCCTGTGGTGCTACTACATACTGTTGTGGAGCAAGCTCAGCATATCACTTCACTTTGTCTTCTTTCTTGCTCCCAGTCCAACACATGATCCTACAGCAGTACCTCAGTCACACGTGGATTTTAGAAATATCACCACATCAGATACAAGAATCATTTGGATGGGAACCCTGAAGAGGGAAAGAAATTATGCAACCCAATACAAAAGAGAGGCATGGCCCTTGTTAATACTTAAAAAAAACATTAGCAAGGCTCAGTGTCATCCAGTGTTTAGAAAAGTGTTGGGCCTTTAGCATAACCCACAAAGCATGAGGGCAGTTTGGTCAGCTACTCAAGGCAACACTCTAAAAGTCTCATCCTACTGAGCATGAAAGCTAAAATTTGCGTGGGTGGTTGAATTGCTAGAACAATTTCAGGAAGAGAATTTCCCCTCTATGGCTTTGTCTACATTACAAGTGCTTCACCTCCTGTGCGATACCCCAGCAAAGCAGTATAGACACAGCTGTACTGGTAAACCAGTACTGGGCACATCTACATGCTCATTAATGTGCCATAGTTATGGCATATAAAGTTTAGTACTTGGATAACCAAGTACTAAATGAGTGTGCAATAACTTGAGCTACTGCACAGTAGTGCCAGCACATGGGTTTTTAGTGAAGCTTACTGTGCAGTAGCATAATAATATGGTGCAGTAGCATATTAGCGCAGGTTTTGCCCTGCACGTTACTGTGCAGTGTTATTAAGTTACTGCACAGTAAGCGTCTCATGTAGACGTGCCCACTGTGTTGCCATATAGTCAAGCAATCCCTACAAGAGGGGTGAAACACATGCCTATGAATGGCATCAGGGACTGTACCTCAGCGCACAGACGGTCCATTCCCTAATACACTCACTAGAAGTATCCCGGTGGGAAATTACACATTACATGCCCATTGAGATGGGCACCCCAATTAAATTCAGCAGAAGATTCTGCTGTCATTTGCCTCTTGTGGCTTGGGAAATGTTGCCTATGTGATGGAAAAGGCTTCTTCCTCATTTATTACCAGCTGTCCTGCAAACATGCCTCGCACAGCACACATTTGTTAATATGTAATGAAGGCAGGAATGGAGGCAAGTGTGTGTGTGTGCTTGTGTGTACATGTGCATATGTGTGTCTGTGTGCATGTGTATGTATGAAAGGACGGTATCCTAGCTGACTAGTGAGTGCTAACAAGTGCTCTAGTGTAAGCATGCTGAAGATCCCACAAAGCTCTTGGTTCAGAGGTGATATCTTTTATTAGACCAACTAAATAGTAGCAAAAACAATTCTTTTTGTTTAGTACTATTTAGTTGGTCTAATATAAGATATCACCCCCAAGCCAAGAGCTCTGTGTATTTGTCTTTTCTCAGACCAACATGACTACAAACTAGATCCCGGAAGATCCCGGGGTCTCCAAATTCCCATGGCAGGGGACTTACTGGATACAAGGCACAGCTGTGTGGGTTTGCCTATCACCCCTCTGCTCAGCCTCAGGTGGGAGGATAAAAGGCAGGGAGATACCTGAGGCTGGATGAGAGCCAGCGATTGGTCCTTTCCAGTTGAACTTTGGCTCTTTGTTCACAGGGATTATTGGTAGATGAGGCACAATCATAACACAGACAGAAACATTTCTCTCTCAGCAGGGTGCTCAGCTCTACTCTGAGTAATAACAAAAGGTGGTGAATAGCTTGCTGCTGGATGTACTGCCTATTCTTTTGCACTTGTTCATCTCTTTGCTTTAAGGATGAACTCTAACCTCTGTTTTACAGGTACGAGTACTGCCTGCTAACAGCAATATACACGGTACATTTATAGACCTGAGAAAAGATAACAGAAGCCAAGAGAAGAGAAAACACTAGCTAGAACAATAAATATTTGACTACAACTGTTAGGGTGACAGTATTTGGATCTTGGGGAACATTGGATTTGCAGCTGAATAAAGACTTTAATCTGTGGCTCAGCAAGACTGCTGACCACAAAGCAGAATGATATATTAAAAGTAACATTGCGAGATGCTTAGGCAAGCATTTGCCTAATAATGTGGTTTCATAGTTTCATAGTTTCTAGGGTCGGAAGGGACCTGAGCAGATCATCTAGTCTGACCCCCTGCCATGGCAGGAATAGCACTGGGGTCAAATGACCCCAATAAGGTGGTCATCCAACCTCCTCTTAAAAACCCCCAGGGTGGGAGCCTGCACCACCTCACATGGAAGCTGGTTCCAGACCCTAGCTGCCCTGACCGTGAAGTAGCGCCTCCTGATGTCCAACTTAAACCTTCCCTCCGCCAGCTTGTGACCGTTATTCCTGGTCACTCCTTGCGGCGCTCGGGGGAACAGGGACTCCCCCAGCGCCTGCTGATCCCCCCTAACCAGTTTATAACAGGCCACAAGATCCCCCCTCAGCCTTCTCTTTTGAAGGCTGAATAGGTTCAGGTCCCGCAACCTTTCCTCATAGGACCTACCCTGCTGTTCCTTGATCATACGAGTGGCCCTCCTCTGGACCCTCTTGATGCTGTCCACATCTCTCTTGAAGTGAGGCACCCAGAACTGGACACCGTAACTGGACTGGTAGTGCTGTAAGATATACAGCTCATTGTGTAAGGAGAATAGGATGCAGGCCACCAGCTAACATGAGGGGATAAAGCAAAAGTAAGACCTTGGAGATGAAAAAGGAGTCAGCAAGAAATGGCAAGTGACTGAAAGAAGCTGAGTTCATGGTCTTATGCATGCGCTTATAGCAAAAAGGCATGCAAATGAATGAAATGCATATGTAATTCCATGTTAATGAAGTAAACAGTAAAAAGAAGCAGAGCTTGAGATAGGAGGGAATATGGGTGGAACAAAGGAGGGACAAAGGTGGAATAAATGTTAATAAGTATAAACCAAGGTGTATAATTATGGAAAGAACTAATGTTCACTGCAGCTCTCCGAACATTGTTGTTGGAGCTGGCCCAGAGCTGTCTGCATTTTGAATAAAGCTGTTGCTAGCAATGTGTGCTGGTGTTTACTCTCTGAGCAATTGGATCATCATCTTCCTAGTCGTTGGGCACCACATGGAGTCAGGGTCTAACAAGAATGATAAATAATTTCCTCAGGACCTCGGGAGGTCACATCTAGTCCAACCCCCTGTTCCAAGCAGGACTAGCCCCAGCTACATCATCCCAGCCAAGGCTTTGTCAAGCTGGGTCTTAAACACCTCCAAGGATGGAGACTTCATCACTTCTTTGGGACCCCTGTCATGTTGACCCCTGGCTTGGAACAGAGGCCAGGAAACAAGATGAGGTCAAGTTGAAGTCCAAGGGGGTGGATGTACAATCAGGGAAGCCAGAGGCATTACTGAACAGGAGCTGCTCAGGAACTGGAGACCAGTAAGTTGTGCATCAAAATTCAGATGCTGGAGGAGGTCCTTAAAAGCAGACCCAGAACCAATCAGTGGGAAGACTGAGGGCTCAGTGAGCCCAAATTTAGGCCCAGCTAGTCCAGCTTATCAGGCAGCAAGATAGGAGCCTCACTTATCCTTAGCTTTTCAAGGCCTCTCTCTCTTTGTAGACAGGGCCCTTACTTTGTTTCTGCTCTGTTGCATTGATGCTCCTTCAAACAGGCTTTCTCATTTGGCAAAGCCAGGGCTTGGGGTCCCATGGCCACACACACAGTCAAGCTGGGAGCCCCACAGCAGATGATCCATAGCATAGAGGATCCAATAGCCACAGTGCAGACACTGCAAATGGGACAGCTGCCTCCTGGCCAGGAGCAGTGATGGATCCAGGATTCAATGCCACCAAGAGTAGGAGGGAGCAGGCTGTCCAGCTAGTGCTGGGAGTGCTCCCAGCTTCTGTGGCTTGGGCCCCTAAGAGCCCTGCTAAAACAGATTGCAGCTTACCACCCAGGGATCACATCCAGATCCATGCAGTGCACTTCATCCAATCAGTGCTTTCAGCCTATCTCACACCTTCCTTTTAAGGAAGAACAAGGCAAGAAGGATTGCTAAGCTCAAAAACGGAGCATCACTGGATGCCATATTTTCTTGCATACAACATACACCTTTCCCTTCCAAAATACAGCTGCTGGAAATTCAGGTGCAAATAACTGAGGAAATATAGCAACAGTTGTTTTGGAGGCTTAAGCTGGGGAAAGCAAAAATAAACGTGCACATGCTGTTTGCAGGGCTCCCTAGCTGCTGCTGCAGACACTGTCTTTTCCCCCTCTCCCCTTCCTAGCAGAGGCTCTTGAGGAAGGAATTTTTTTCCCTTCATTCTGTCTTTCAAAAACAAGGTGCATATTTTATTCAGGGGCATGTTATATATGAGAAAATATGGTATGCTGCTTCCCATATGTCATCCTCCATATCATGATCCCTGATGGTCCCGGGGAGGTGCAGCCAGGGTCAGAGTGGACCTAGTTAGGGACCTCCTGGTGGGATTGGACACATCCAAATCAGCAGGTCCTGACAATCTCCACCGCAGAGTGCTGAAAGAATTAGCAGAGGTCATTGCAGGACCCCTGGCACAGCTTTACGAGCACTCATGGTGCTCTGGTGAGGTGGCAGAGGACTGAAAGAGGGCCAATGTGGTTCCCATTTTCAAAAAAGGGAGGAGGGAGGACACAGGAAACTATAGGCCTGTTAGTCTTACCTCAGTCCTGGGGAAGCTCTTTGAGAAAATTATCCAGGAGCACATCTGTGAGGGGCAAGCAGGAAGTGTATGCTTAGAGGCAACCAACACGGGTTCATTAGAAGCAGGTCCTGTCAGACCAACCTGGTGGCCTTCTATGATCTGGTTACTAAATCCTTGGATGCAGGCATTGTGGTGGACATAGTCTTTCTGGACTTTAGAAAAGCCTTTGACACTGTCTCTCACCCCATTCTCATTACAAAATTAGGCGATGTGGTGTTGATCCCTACACAGTCATATGGGTCGCCAATTGGCTGGAGGGCCGCACCCAGAGGGTGGTGGTGGAGGGATGTTTCATAGTTTCATAGTTTCTAGGGTTGGAAGGGACCTGAGCAGATCATCTAGTCCAACGATGTGGGCAGTGGGGTCCCCCAGGGCTCGGTCCTTGGGCCCGCACTGTTCAACATCTTCATCAGTGACTTGGACAAGGGGGTAAAAAGCACCCTGTTCAAATTTGCAGATGACACTAAGATGTTGGGGGAAGTGGGCATGCTAGAAGGGAGGAATAGGCTGCAATTGGACCTAGACAGGTTACAGGGGCGGGCAGATGAGAACAGGATGGGATTCAACACTGACAAGTGCAAAGTGATGCACTGGGGAGGAAGACCCAGCACCATACCTACAGACTGGGGAACTCCCTTCTCGTCAGGGCAGAGGCAGAAAAGGATCCTGGAGTCGTCATTGACGCCAAGATGAACATGGGCCAGTAGTGTGGGGACGCAGTCAGGAAGGCCAACCGCACTTCAGGAGGGATGTGGACAGCATGGAGAGTGTCCAGAGGAGGCCACTC